TGGGTATGCATGTGGATGTTTGGCGCAAGCTGGGACTCCTCTTATATTTGGGTAAAGACAATTCTAATTCGCATATTAGAAAACCACAATTGATTGTTATTTTTGAATCATGCGGTAAGCACCATGTTTGTTGATGTTGATAGCCATGCACTCAAGTGAGGAGGATGCATATCGCTTTGTACCTTGTTCGAGAGCCCATGAACTACATAAGGCATATGGTGCTCACGGAAGCAAGAAGAGTTGCACCTCAAGTTGAAGCTGCAGTGGAAGAGTACAAGAAAACCCATGAAAAGAGGAAAAAGGAAAGAGAAGAGCACAAGGAAACCCAGTCAACGAGCCCAAGAACAACCTGATTTTGCGTTTTAGTTTTCAAGATGATGGACAACAGTTATGTGTTTTTTTTCTAAGGATGATGGACAACCGTTTTTTATTTGGTTCGGTGAATGCTTATTATTTTTGGTTTTTATATTTGGTTTTTGGTTTGGTGAATGGTTTTTATATTTGGTTTTTGGTTTGGTTTTTGGTTTGGTGAATGCTTTGTATATTTGGTTTTTGGTATTGTGAATGCTTGCTATATTTTGTTTTTCGTATTGTGAATGCTTTCTATATTTGGTTTGGTTTGGTTTGTTTTTTCGTGGAAATGGCAAAGGGACTTCACCAAAATTCCAGCTTCCAACTTGTGAGTGAGGTTGCTTCTGTTCAAGGCTTCAAGCCATTGTATCTTGTAGAGAGGTTTAATTGGGATCATGTATAGTTAAACTGATTAGCTCCCAATCGTATAATTAAATTTGCATTCATGTATAGGTAAACCAAAAGGTAAAACTGATTGGCTCCCAATCGTATAATTAAATTTGCATTCATGTATAGGTAAACCAAAAGGTAAAACTTATTGGCTCCCAATCAGTATAAATAATAACCAAACCCAGTACAAGGCAGATAGAAAATTCTTATGTAATTAATTTAATGTTCCTAGGATATGGAAAGGCTTCCATGTAAAGGATTGAAAGTAGTGATTTACATTGATCAGGAGAGTGGCTTAAGTACCAACTCTTGAACAGATTGAAGCTACAAAGTAGGAGCCACTAACCCACTAACTAAAACTAATGACGTTACTAACTAATAATAATAACATTAATTATTTACAGAAATTGAATTTATGCAGAGCCCTTATCATTTCATTCCTTGAATTTCCACCAACGATGTTTTCACTCCCCTTTTAGTTAGAGAATTCATTGTAGTAATAAATACAATAAAAAGGCATACATAGTTAATGGATTCTTTATTGTGTATAATTAAAAGGATATTTTACTATAAACGAAGCATGATAGATCCACAGGGGGATAAAAGAAGCATGAGTTTTGATAAAAAAGGGGAAAAAATCACCATAGATAAAAAATCATTATAATCAACCTAATTGGAACTGCTTAGAACAAAAGCGGATTAAAATCTCCCCCAATGAAATTCATTTGCAATTTCATAGGTAGTCCCTACTTCCACTTCTATAATTTTGAGAACATTGCAATTTCATCAATAGCCCCACTCGTGGGCCAATTTCAATTGCAACCAAATTTGCACCCTTGCAATAGCTTCTCACATCATAGCAAGTGTAGGATGCAATTGCACCTCCTTGCTTAGGGATGACCATTACTGCATCTCGTCACCTGTCTTAGGGAAATTAGCCATGGCAAATTCACAAAATACTGCATGCATAGAAAAATATTTGTCTGGATAATTAAAAAAATGGGAGACTTTCCTATTCAGATGATGTACTGGCTCCCCTCAGTACCTGACAGTTTTGAGTGCTGGAGAAAAAGACTGGAAAAAAAAAACAACGAAGCCTTACAGTAAACTTCTTAACAAAACACATCCAATGCTAGCCCCTTCACTGCTCCACCCCGCCCTGCATCAATCGACTCTCATGTAAGCCGATGAAGTTTGCTTGAGGATGCCTCAGGGGTCTCTTCATGATCCGTATGCCGAAGGTCATAAAAAGTATTGGTCACTTCGACGATACGGTAGACTGCAAATAGGCGGAATGGTCCTCCCTAGCATAAACCCCCATATCCATCCCAACCCTTCCAAGAAAGGTGGTCAAGAAGGTGGCATATGGAAAGGCAGTGTACCAGTTTTCCCCTCTAGGAGCAGCCTCAACCATGTTCAGGCACATGAGAGATGCGAGGTTAAGAGGAACACCTCTTTGAGCTTGCACAAGGATAAACAGGTCAAGTTTACGAATTATCGAATGACCACTGTACCTTGGCATGAAGCATTTGACGATCATCCAATGGAGGAATCGAAGAGGATCTGGGAGGAAAGAAGCCTGGATGCGCCCATTCGTCAGTTTCGCCAGTTCAACTTCAAACTCAAAATCGTACAGCCGCCGAAGATAGCTTCTGCTATCAATGTGGTGTCCTACGGCGGGGAGATCGAGGATCTCAGCAAACTGATGAGGCTGGAAGCTGACTCTATAACCCAGGAAGATCGACACGAGATGAGAATCGGATGGACCAGACAGCTCTAAATTGTGGTAGAACTTCCTCACCACATGCGGGCAGTAACTGGTGCTTCCTCGACTCCGGAGATCAAAGAACTTTTCCCAGCCAAGATTTTTAATTAACTTCTTCACTTCTTGAGGGAAAGGACTCAGGTGGATGAACTCGTACTTGGCCACAATAGATGTCTTGCTCGTGAATGAAAGATAGTCCGCGAGACTTGGGGTGGATCGGCAATCATCGTTTGATAGAGTTAGTATGCCCATGTTTGCCATGGAGTCAGAGGAAGAAGGAACAAGGGAAGGTGAAGATGGAGGAAAGAGAGATTGTAGGTGTAAGAAAAAGTGATCGTGGGGGTTGAGTGTGGAGACGTGTGATGGAGACGGTTGAGTCTGGAATATCAAGAGTTAGAAGATTTGGGAAGATATGTAGTAATGATGATGTTAACTCGTGTAGGTTAAACTAGGGTAACTAAAGCTAGTTAAACTAGGGTTGGCGCACGAATTGATACCGCAGGAGAAAACTAATGGGCTCGCACGTTCCAGGCCCACTTTTGAATATTGCATGGGTCATGTACAAGCCTACGTTTGAATGTTATTTAAAAGCCTGCAAAAATCAATGATCAGACCCAGTCCAACTAGAATTAGTCCTAAACGCACCGTTAATACATAAACACAAACTAAGGAGACCTCTCCATCCGATTCGAATCAAATTATGTGTTCTTCATCTTCTTCCTCGATCCTCTGGGCGAGACGAACACTACATATCAGGAAACCTAAATTTCACCGAGAGATATAAGGCTCGAGAAAATCACAATAACGCTAAGACAAGATGACAAAGCACTAGCGACATGAACCCTAGGGTTAGCAAACCTCTTTCAAGGGTTCTTTTGCAAATGAAAAGTTCGATGAACACAATAATAGACATGGTCGCCGTAATCGTGTTAGAAAGACATAGGCGAGGGGAAATACAATGGCGAAGAAGAAACAAGACAAAATTTTTTTGGGAAATTCAATCTACGTCGAATGTGGATGCAAGTAATTGGGATTCAAAAAGATGATTAAAAAAAGGGAGTTCAAATTGGATGGGGAGCTTCTCTTGAAACTGTGAAGGGGCGTCCCTCCAAGACGAGAGAGGGATCGTGTAATTGATTAGGGAGACTGGAAATTGGTTTGGGCGGCAGTGGGTCTACCCAATTGGGTTTGCAGTCTTAATCCATTTAATTTAATCGGGGCAGTTAGTTGGACTAGGATGAAAACAAACTTAACGCGGAGGAGGCTTTTTGTAATTTATTTAGTTATTTAGTGGCGCAGTTAGGTTTAACAAACGTGAGCCGTGGAGATTGAAAACGAATGGTTAAGATCGGCCAAGGTACCCGTACCCGGATTTTGCCCTGGGCACAGTAGAAGTCACCATATATATATTTATATATATATTCTACCCAAGTAATTAACGGATTAATTATATGCAATGGTGTATCGGTAAAACAACAATGGACAATACTATTCGACCAACAGTAGCACTAAACTAATGATATACAATGGTGTGAAACCTTGTACACATATGAACAATAGATTAATATTTTGATTTAATTGTGGATTTAACAAGAGGTATTGGATAGATTGTGAATTGTAATGTGATGCTTTGTTGAATAGCAAAGTGATTCTATGATAGATTAATATTTATTATCTGATATAGTTCAATATTATTCTGGTATTTCGCGGCGTGCATTATCAAATTTTTCTGGTAGATTTATTGTTTACAAATATATTTTTTATTTTTATTAAAAAGATATTATAACAGTATAAAATGGTTGAAAAAAAACATATCACAAATATACTATTGCTGGCTTGTTGATATAATATTTGTGACAATATATAATTTATTGTACTTTCAAGAAAACGGTCACTTATCAAAAGTATCTAATTCTCTCTGATCAGACTAAATATAATAAATTATTGAAATTTCACTTATCCCAATAAGTTTTTCCATTCAACCGGCTGATCCTAAACTAGTGTTAAGGAAAGCAAATCACATCTTCTTACTGCACATCTCGGGTAAAAAGTACTTTGAAATTCAAGTCTGTCACTCTATTTGTCAAATATAGAGTATGGGCATTTCACAATTTGACTACATTTTCCCGGGCCAAGGGCCCAGGCCCGGGTCATGATCTAGCTTAGTTATAATGCAGAAATGTAGATTTTTTGGGCAGATTCCGTTGGATCATGGGCCCAATGGTGGATGGCCCAGATCGAAGGAAGCACAAACTGTAACGACTAACGACTGAAGAAGATGGGCAAACACGAGGAAAATCAAAATTTCTCCTCCCTCCATATTCCCCTGTCCCGTCTTTCTTTGTTTTCGTCATTCTCAGTGTCAAAAAAAGTGTCAGGCTGCCTTGCCTTCCACCTGTTCGATCAATTTCCTCAACCAAGCAATAACAAAATCCAATTCAAGAACCTCGGAACTCCAATTCTTCTATTTTTACCCCTTCCTTTCCCAACCATCAAATTCTCTTGCTTTCGAACTTCTCCATGTCTCGGTAAACTTCTTCTCAAATCTCCCAAAATTTGCAGATAGCTAAACATCAAACCCAATACAGGAAAAGTTTTCGTCTATTGCTTCTCCTGATTGGGATTTCTCAGGTCCATCGCTTCTGCAGAATAAAGTAAACTAAGTTCAAATCTTTGGCTCGGATTCTGTTCTGGGTTCGTGAAAAATGTTCGGTTTCCTGAAATCAAATCAGGCGGCAAATGGCGACGCGGCGGCAAAGCAAGAGCCTCCGCCGAAGAGAACGGCTTCGGAGCCCGTGTTGATGAATGTCGCAGACGAGGACTCCGACGACGAGCAGCAATGGCGGAAGAAGCCTTCGGGGGCGGCCAAGAAGAAGTACGAGAATGGGTTCAAGGATTCAGGAGGGCTGGAGAACCAGAGCGTTCAGGAGCTGGAGAGTTACGCAGTGTACAAAGCTGAGGATACAACGAATTCTGTAAACAACTGTCTTAGGATCGCAGAGGACATTAGATCGGATGCCTCCAAGACTCTTGATATGTTGCATGCTCAAGGTGACCAAATTCAACGAACCCACGAAATGGCTGTCGATATGGACAAAGATTTGGGCAAGGTAGTGAGCTTTCTCTGCCTTTTCTTGACAAATGATGATGATGTTTCTATTGATAATTTAGTAATTGAGATTCATTTGTGCAAAGAAAATCATGAAATAGTGGAGTTTGAATGTGAGACCTGATCAAGGTATAATAAAATTGTGATAAAATTGCATTTATTTTCCCGTTGGTATGTGATTTAATTAGGTAGGGTAAGATCTTATATACAATGCTTGTAACCCAAAATATTAGTTTGAAATTCTTGGGCTAAGGACTATGTAGGATTGAGCAGATAAGATTTAGAACTCTAAGTCAATTGAAAATGAAACTTCATACTACATTGGATAAACTACTTATCCTAGCAAGCCAATGGATCATTTGCTATTTGTAAATGGAAGAGACACTGACAATTGTTGGTAATTGCTAAAATCTCAGGGTGAGAAACTTTTAAACAGTCTTGGTGGGATGTTCTCCAAGCCATGGAAGCCAAAGAAAACCAAGGAGATCACTGGCCCTGTCATCACAGAAGGTTTTTCTATATTACACTTTCGTTTTTTATTTTTATTTTTTTTGCTTGCATAATCCCCTACTTTATGCTCTTACTTCCCACTTTTTATGTCTCTGCATCAGATAAAACATCAAGGAAGAATGCAAACCACAGAGCACAAAGAGAGAAACTGGGGATAGGGAACAAACCAGGAGCCAAATCAGCACCTGTAACCCCTCCCCCTGAGCCATCAAATGCAATGCAGAAAATTGAGGTTAGCTCTCTTTCTCATCTCTCTTTCTTTTATACTCAGTTAGTTACCTCTTCTCAATTGGCGAGCTTCTGAGTTAAACAAATGGGATGACTCAACACACAGATGGAGAAGAAAAAGCAAGATGATGGACTTTCAGATTTGAGCGATATCTTGGGTGATCTGAAAGGCATGGCAGTTGACATGGGTTCTGAACTTGACAGGTCACTTCATCTCATTTCGCAGCAGCGTCTTGATATACTCTGGTCTCTCAAACTTATCAAAAAACCTGCTGAACTGAAAAACAGTGGTTTGCTCTCCGATGCAGGCAAAATAAAGCGTTGGATCATCTTGGTGATGATGTTGATGAGCTCAACTCTCGAGTCAAAGGAGCAAACCAGCGTGCCCGTCATTTGCTTTCCAAATAAGACAGATTCTACTGCTAAAACCATCATTCAGCTTCTAGCAGTCTCCCAGATTGGGCAAACTTTCCTTCGTTTATATTTGTTCTCTGTCAATTCTTCCTTCCCGAAAGTGTGTATATGAATGTATATAGTTTGATCCTCACTTACAAGATGGCAATTTACTAAAATGTCATTCTTTCGTCAACTCTTTCTTTTCCCATGAATGGCTATACAGTATTGATACTCTACATTTAGAACTGGTGCATGAAACAAGGAGGATAGCGTAACCCTTCTGTTATGGATGTAACAATATACAGAAATCATTCCTCCCCCTTTATTCTACAAGAGAAGGGAGCAAGTAAATGATAAAATCAATACTCAGAAACAATCAGAATACGCATATCTTTTAAGTACAATCCTTCAATCAAACTTCCCTATCTACTTCCACTCTTCCAAATGATACAGTGGAGGACGACTATTTACAGATCTAAAATAGAGTTGCAGGAGAGTAACAACAGTAGTGCACCAAAACCCTTTGGATAGCATGCAATAGATGGACTCACATTCATGGCAACAGGATTCCAGCATTGCGCGAAAGATATCATTATATAGTACTATCACGTCTCCTCGCTTTTCACAGGAGTCCACTCGGCTTTTGGAGGATTCTGCTTCCTGGCATGCGAAATGAACCCTACAATGTAGCCAATGAAAGCCCCCAGGACAAGGATGCTTGCCCCCTTCACATACTTTGACACCGTAAATTCTCCTGCTCCTGCTGCAGGAGCTTTGCTTCCCATGCCAACCAGGTCTTTCATGGCATCGCTCTGACCATCATTCCCACTTATGACTTCACCCGACGCAAGAATCTCCACTGTATCATGCACTTGCCCGTCATGGTTCCCAACATAATACAACGTGAGCTTCTCCCTTGTAGCAAACAGTCGCGTATACCCAAACTCTCCTCCTCTATACAGCGATCTCTCTGGTTGAGGGAAAACTGGCATATCAGGGTGCTCCGGTCTAGGTTCCCAAGTCGGTTGCCAATCTTGACCAGCCATCCCAATCACTACATGAACCGGAAGCCCCTTCTCCCCACATGTGAAGTTATTCATCGGACAAAACCTCTCATACCTATGTACATGACCCCACAAAGCCATGGTCACGTTGTTGCTCACGAGTAGTGGTTCCAAATGCTCTTGCAATTTCTGCCTCATCGGTGCATCTCTAACCTCATTGCTCGTAGTGTACATCGGCCTGTGCCCTTGGAAAACAACGAAAGGGGTCTTGGTCCGGTTGACTGATTCGAGATCCTTTTTTATGAACTTGTACTGCTGACTCCCTCGAAGGAAGTTTGTTTCGGTTGATATGTAAACAAAATGAATGGTCCCCAAATCGAAAGAGTAGTAAAGGTTTCGAGTTGGTGGTGCTCGCATTCCAGTTGGCTCTGAAGAGTTTCCTGGCATGTTGAATTTCAAGCTGTAAGGAACACCACATTCACCACCTCCATCAGTTCCATAGGTTCCAGAGGCCCAATCCGGCTTCCACGGCTGTGCTGGCCAATCATACTCGTGATTGCCAATGCAAACATGGTAGGCCAATTTTGATGCAATGGGTTCAATCTGAGTGAAGAAATGGTCCCATATCCAGGAGTAGCCCCTTGCATAGCTTATATCGCCAATGTGAGAGACGAAAGCAGGCTTGTCACCTAGAGATTCCATGTCGCGGAGGATCCAGTTTACCGTTGATATGGATTCGGATTGTGTACGGATGAATGTTGCATATGGTGCAGAAGTTCCCATGTCTCCAAACAGGAAAGCTATTGTCTCGTTTGCATCTTCGTCCCTTGACACAAAGGTTTGAGTTGCACTCCAGCCCTTTGAGTCACTCCCAACCTGTGTAGACCATTGAAGTGCAGTTCATAAGGATTCAACAATCATCAATCCAGGGTAACAAATCAGACAAATACATTTAAAGCTTCAAACTTTCATCTGCATAATCAGAACCCAAAACTTGATTCAGTCATGCAAAACGAAATTTCAGTTTCAGTATATCTGAGCTGCAGATAAAGTTCACTCAAATCTACCAAATTCAGTCAAAATTGTATGAAACAGGTTCCACTTTTTGCTAAGTTAGGAAAGAATCCCGGCAGCTTGAGAGCAGGTAGAAGATCAACAATAAGACAACAGAAACCCAATTCGAGATTTCTAAACCAAATTATGATTCACCTGATAGTAGTATCTGAAACCCTTCTTCAAATTCTTCATAACCCCATCATAAATCCACCCAGGATCTCTCCACCCAACGGAGCTATTCGCAGGCGAATCACACATATCCTCTCGCTCGTACCTGGCCACACGCGCCGCCGCGTCGTGACTCCACTGACCGTCCTCTTCCCCCCACCTGACCTTCCTCGCCTCTCCGTCTCCGACGACAAACATCACCCTCATCTCATCCACAGCGTCGGTAAAAGCCAAGTGGATCTGCTCCGGCCCCTTCCTTGACCCGAACCCGACTACCTTTTCGGACTCCGCCAGCAGATGCTTCGTGCCCGGAAGCGGGTTCTGGTCGTGGTCCTGGCGCTTGACGTTGATCTCGTCCTCCGTCCAGCGGAAGATCCGGAAGGAGTAGTTGGATCGGAGGTTTGTGATGGGTATGGAGAGGGAACCCGACCCGGATTCCCAACCGGGCGAGGAAGAGAGGAACTTGTAGCCGATGAAGTGGTCGGGGCGGGAGTCGGGCGGGGAGTATATTCCGACCCAATCGAGATTGGAAGGGGAGTCGACATTGGACCAGAAGACGGTGACGACGTCGCCGGAGCGATTGAGGAGGGTCGGAGTGACGGAGATGCTGGGTTTGGCGAGGGCGACGCCGGCGAGAAGGGAGGAGAAGAGGAATGGGATTAAGATGGCCCGATTCATCGTTGTCGCCGGTGGGGGAAAGGCGGGTATGTGGCGATCGAAGATGGATTGGTGGGTCGAGTTTGATTAATCTGGGATTTTTGTTTGTCTCAGCTGACAGCTGGTTCGTGGTTCTTGTTTTTGAGTGATTTCTACGTTCTTGTTTTTTTCAATTATCCGTTTAATTCCCGTTCGTCAGCTCAGGCCTGCCCATTTGACTGGGGATGGTAGGCCACCGACACCTGATGCTTAACGCCATAGCGAGAGAGGAGTTTAGTGAATTGCCCTTGAAAATGGGTTCCTCTATCACTAATAATGGTTCGAGGTGTCCCGAACCGGGAGAACAGCTGCTTCAGAAATGAGCAAACCCGTCTTGCATCATTGGTGGGTATGGCTTGAGCTTCTGCCCACCTCGAGACGTAGTCCACTGCAACCAATATGTACAGATTGCCAAAAGATGGAGGGAATGGGCCCATGAAATCGATACCCCAAACATCAAAAATTTCACAAATAACAGAGATATGTTGGGGCATCTCATCCCGGGCAGAAATGTTACCTGACCTTTGGCAGCGGTCGCACTGTCGTGCGAAGGTGTCTGCATCCTTGAAGAGCGAGGGCCAATAGAAGCCCGACTGTAGCACCTTCCGCGCCGTGCGGTTTCCTCCATGATGACCTCCAGTAGGTCCCTCGTGACATTGAGACAGGATGTCTCCCATCTCATGCTCCATGACACAGCGCCGGATCACGCCATGTGCTCCGATTCTAAAGAGGTAAGGATCCTCCCAGAAGTAGTGCTTCAGATCGGAGAAGAACTTGCGCTTTGCATGAGTAGCCATCCCCTTGGGTAACTGCTTGCCCACCAGATAATTGGCAAAGTCAGAATACCAAGGGGCCACGCTGTCCACCAGGGTCATCGCCAGCAATCGCTCACCCGGGAAGGAGTCGTCGATCTCTTCCTCGAAGTTGTCCACCGGAGGGGCTTCCAACCGTGAAAGATGATCTGCAGCAACATTCTCGGCTCCCTTCTTGTCCCGGATCTCGATATCAAACTCCTGCAGCAGCAGGATCCAGCGGATGAGCCTAGGCTTTGCATCAGCCTTGCTCATCAGGTAACGAATCGCCGAGTGGTCAGTGTAGACCACCAAATGAGAGAGCACCAGATAGGGTCGGAACTTGTCAAACGCATACACCACAGCGAGGAGCTCCTTCTCTGTGGTGGTGTAATTCTCCTGTGCATCGTTCAAGGTCTTCGACGCGTAGTAAATGGCCTGGAAGTGTTTCTCGCGTCTCTGACCCAGAACTACTCCGACTGCATAGTCCCTCGCATTGCACATCAGCTCAAAAGGAAGAGACCAGTCAGGAGTCACCATGATAGGTGCATGGGTAAGCTTCTCCTTCAGAGTCTCAAATGCAGCTTTGCACTCGGGAGTGAACTGGAATGGCGCATCCTTCTCCAGCAGCTTGGTCAAAGGCAGGGCAATCTTCGAGAAATCTTTGATGAAGCGCCGGTAAAAGCCTGCATGACCCAGAAAGCTGCGAATCCCCTTCACAGAGACGGGAGGAGGTAGCTGACTGATCGTCTCAATCTTCGCGCGATCTATCTCAATCCCCTGCTTGGAGATCTTGTGCCCGAGCACAATACCTTCACGAACCATAAAATGGCACTTCTCCCAGCTGAGTGCCAGATTAGTCTCCTCGCACCTCTTCAGGACGAGTTCAAGGTTATGGAGACAGTGAGTGAAAGAGTCTCCATATACCGAGAAATCATCCATGAAGACTTCCATGATCTCTCCAACCAGTCGGTCGAAGATCGCCAGCATGCATCTCTGGAAGGTCGCCGGTGCATTACACAGCCTAAATGGAATCCTCCGGTAAGCAAAAGTGCCGAAGGGGCAAGTGAATGTGGTCTTCGCCTGATCCTCCGGTGCAATAGGAATCTGGAAGTAACCAGACATACCATCCAGGAAGCAATAGAACTCATGGCCAGCCAACCTCTCCAGCATCTGATCAATGAAAGGTAGGGGGAAATGATCTTTCCTGGTGGCGTCGTTCAGGTGCCGGTAATCGATGCAGACTCTCTAGCCGGTCACAGTCCGCATCGGGATCAACTCCTTCTTCTCATTCGGGACCACAGTCATCCCGCCTTTCTTCGGGCCACCTGAGTGGGGCTGACCCACTTGCTATCAGATATAGCAAAGATGATCCCTGCATCCATGAGCTTCACAATCTCTGCCCGGATCACTGCCTCCAAGTTAGGAGACAATCTCCTCTGGGGCTGCCTGACTGGCTTAACCTCATCCTCCATCAAAATTCTGTGGGAGCAGAAGGATGGGCTAATGCCTCTGATGTCGGTGATCTTCCATGCCATGGCCCGGGCATACTTCTACAACAAAGCCACCAGCCTGCTCTTCTGCTCGGGTGTCAGATCCGAGCTTATAATAACCGGGAGCTTATTCCCCTCCCGGAGAAATGCATACTCCAGGTGAGATGGGAGGGGTTTAAGCTCCAACTCTGGTGGCTCCTCCAACGATGTAGCGAGCCGGGGCGAGATGGGGATCGGCTTGAATGGCATCTCTCACCCCTCGCTCGCAGCCTCGTCCAGCTCCGCAAGCTGCTCCTCCAGCTGCACATCCTGTGATGCCTGTTCCCCTAGCAAAAGACAACGCTCAAGGAAATCATCAGTACCCGCACTCGTGATGGCGAGTGCGGTCTCAAAATCAGCAACAACATCACAGTAATCTAGATCATCATGGAGCTGGGGGTGTTTCATATTATCAGAAACAGAGAAGGTGATTTGTTCACCCCCAGCTCTCAAAATCAGTTTTCCATCATTAACATCAATAAGCGCCTTGGCGGTGGCGAGAAAAGGTCTACCCAGTATCAATGGCCCATCAACATCCTCATTTATGTCCAAAATCACAAAATCAACAGGATATGAAAATGGCCCTACTGCGACTATCAGGTCCTCTGCTATACCCCTAGGATGCACAATGGATCTATCAGCAAGCTGGATGCTCATCCTAGTATTACTGGGTTCACCTAGGCCTAGCTTCTTAAACAGTGAATATGGCATGACATTTATGCTAGCGCCTAAATCAGCCAAGGACTTCCCTACATGCAAACTACCAATCATGCAAGGGATATTGAAACTCCCTGGGTCTTTTCGCTTCTCTGGTAGTTTGTTCTGCAGGATGGCAGAACACTCCTCGTTAAGCATCACCGTTGACAGCTCCCCAAGCTTCCTCTTGTTGGTGAGGAGATCCTTAATGAACTTGGCATACTTGGGCATCATCGATAATGCCTCCACGAAGGGCATGCTAATATTCACCTGCTTCAGCATTGCCATGAATTTGGCAAACTCAGTCTCCAGTCGGTCCTTGTGCAACCGAGTAGGAAAGGGAAGCTGTGGTACATACTCTTCACCACTGGCTGCGGTTTAGGAGCAGGCACGTCAACCTCCTTCTCCATTTCTTCCTGATTAGCTGGAAGTGCTGAAGCAGGGGTCTCTCTCTCCTCTGCCCGAACAGGTGGATCGGCAGTCACCTTGCCACTCCTGGTTGTGATGGCACTGCAGTTGGCGTCCGGGTCCTGCGGGTGAGGGATGGTCTGACCAGGCAAGGTACCTGGAGTCCTCCGAGCAACAGCCTGGGCAACACTCCCAAGCTGGGTCTGTATATCTCGCAGCACAGCCTGTGTGTTTCTCTGACCAGCCTCTAGCTCCAAGAATTTGCCTGAAGCTTTCTCCATGAATTGCTCAATGTTATTGAATTTATTTTCACTGGAGGTGGCCAGAGAACCCACCAGATCTCTCAATTCCGCCATCGGGTCACTCTGTAGTGGAGCTGCAGGTGCTGCCCCTGCCTGCTGAAATGGTCGCACCTGTGACTGAGGTGGAACTGGCCCCTGTCTGGGCGGGTAGAGTGGCTGCTGAAATTGCCCCTGTCTGGGCTGGTATGGATGCCTCTGAAAACCGGGTGGTCCCTGGGGAGTTGGTGGTCTGGGATTTGGTCCAGCCCAAGAAAAGTTAGGATGCTGGCGCCACCCCTCGTTATAGGTGTTGCTGTAGGGGTCGAAGCGCCTGGCATTACCAATGAAGTCCACCTGCTCCTGGGGAGTAGACGATTCCCTCATCGCCTGACAGTCCTCCACGGTGTGATGGGAGCTCTCACACCACTGGCAGTGCATCGCCTGCGGCTTTCCTAAACCTGCAATCAAACCAGAACGATCGATAGCTGAAACCAGCTTCGATACCACCTGACACCAAATCAGATGACTGGGTGCCCACAGCATGCACACCCCGTCCTGGTGCTCGCCTCGATCTCCTGGCAGTGCCCGAATCGTACCCGTTCTCCGCCATCTCCTCAAAGAATTGATTCAGCTGGGGCGGTGTTTTGGTCAGCATGTTCCTGCCACAAACCGAATCAATCAGCTGCTTGTCCTCCGGGAAGAGGGCGTGATAGAAGGTGCCCACCTTGAATGCATCATTGAAACCATGATTGGGACACCTGAGAAAGAGACTGGTGTATCTCTCCCAAGCATCCCTAATGGTCTCATCCTCATCCTGAGCAAAATGTGTAATTTGCATCTGCAGGTCAGCTGTCTTGGATGGAGGATGGTAGCGGGTGAGGAACTTGTCCGCCAGGTTGGCGAACGTGGTGATGGAGCCCGGAGGTCGAGTGTCTAGCCACTCCTTGGCCTGCCCCTCCAAAGTGAATGGGAAGTACCTCAGCTGGATGGCATCTGCTGGTACCCCATTGATCTTGATTCCATCGATGAGCTCGTGGAATCGCCTGAGATGTGATCGGGGGCACTCTCCCTCCTTACCACGGAACACCACTGAACTACGCAGCATGGTGATCACTGAGGTGCTCACCTCAAAATTGTTGGCTGGGACATGAGGGTGTTGAATGGGTGACCTCATGTCCGCAGGCCTAGCGGTCCAGTAGGATCCCATGGTCTGCTCTTCGGGGATCACATCACGGTTCTCTGGATCAGCCATCTCTTCTTCTTCTTCTTCTTCTAACTGCAGCTGTGATAGCGCCTCCTCCGTAGCCAGTCGCGCCTTTAGAGCCCGCTTGAAGTTCCTGCAAGTTCGTTCAAGCTCCTGGTCTAATGGTACTAGTTTTCCCGACTGGCTACGGGTCATGCACTACCTGCACACAATCAGCAGAAGCAACCCGTGAAGGCACACAGGTGGAAGAGATAAAATGCAATAAATAAAAAGCTAGAGTAACAAATTCTCACG